TAGGATACTTGACATGAGTAACTAAATTTGTTTTGGATAGTGTGGGACAAATAAAATCTGTTGTCCAGATAGGAGGTTTTGATATCATAGTAGATTTTCTAATGGAAGGGTTTATATGTGATGATTATGTGGAAGAAAATTGAGGAACAACCTATGATGATTGTGAGGAATCAGGTTGAGTGGATTATGGAAGGGAAAAATCAAGGAAAGGGATAATAGAGGCTAGTTTTGTTGTCTGAACTGATGAAACATCTCTAGATAATTTAGATTGATCTATGACAAATGAGGAATGTGAAACAAAATCTAATTCCAGGAATGGTTCTGATAAAAACATAGGTTGTGATGATTTTGACAAAGCAAATGGAAAAATTATTTCATAAAAAACCACATCTCGGCTAACTTGAACAGAATGTGTTTTTAAATCATACAAATAATAACCTTTCTGTATAGGTGAGTAGCCTAAGAAAACACATGGAGTGGACCTTGGAGAGAAATTATCCTTAGGAGATAAGGCAGTAGCATAAGCAAGGGAGCCAAAAACTTTCAAGTGATCAATGTTAGGTTTTTTATGGAAAATTTTTTTCATATGGTGATTGCCCTTAAAGAACTTTAGTAGGTAACCTATTTATAATGTAGACTGTTATCTTTACACAATGCCCCCAAAAATTATGTGGAACATGTGAATGAAATTTCAAGGCTCTAGCTACTTCCAAAATATGTTTGTGCTTCCTCTCAACAATACCATTTTGTTGAGGGGAATATGCACAAGTACTTTGGTGTTCTATACCTTTGTCATGCAACAATTCAAAACAATTTTTTATTAAAGAATTCTAATCCATTTTCAGTTCGGATACACTTAGGAGTCTTGTCAAATTGACTTTGTACCATGGACAAAAAATGTTTAAAGGTTTGAAAAACATCAGATTTGAATTGCATGAGGAAAAGACAAGTTATCCTAGAATGATCATCCACAATGGTTAAGAAATATCTTGTATTTCCATGAGTGGGTATCTTATATGGACCCCAAACATCCATATGCAATAGATCAAAGGTACTAGTAGTAGTAGATTGACTCAAGGGAAATGGAATCCCAGTTTGTTTAGCTAGTGGACATATAGAATAGTGGGGTATATGTGTTAGCGACAGATTATCATGTATCAATTTTAAGATGTGATATGGAACATGCCCTAACATATGATGCCAAATTTCTAGATTATTATTCAAAGAAGATGCATATGATGACAAAACGATATAATCTTTATTAGTTTGTAAACCAAAAGTTACATTTTGCATACAATAGGAAGTTTTGTGGGCATTGTCACTTATTGTTTGTAAATTGGTTACATTGGTTTTTAGCTTTGAAAGAGGCATGAAATAGTATAGCCCTTGCTTATGTTTACCAATCCCCTTCAACTTGTCAGTCCAAAGGTCCTGAATCAAATAAAAATCAGGATAAAATGTAATTGAACAATTGTTTAAAGTAGTTAACTTGGACATAGAAAGCAAGTTGTACTTAAAATCTGGTAAATGAAGCACATTATCTAAAGAAATCACTTCATCCAAACTGAAAGAACTAGTATGTTGTATGTTAGTTTTGGTACCATTTGGAAGTCCTACCAATGTGTTATGGGATGTGCCTATATCAATAGGAGATTCTAGGCCTAAATAGTCATATGTCATATGGTCTGTCGCTCCTGAATCTATAATCCAATTACTGGCAGTATGAATACTGAGAAATAAGATTACCTGCAAGGTTAGCTATTGGAGCTGATACATTCTCTTTCCCAAGCAGTTGCAAGAGTTGATTATATTGCTCAGTTGTAAGAATGGTTCCAAGATTTGTGCCAGACTTAGAATCACTGGTCAATAGTGAAGATTGCACATGATTGGCCTTAGCTTTTGCTCCATTTTTTCCTTTTGTGAACCGATAATCTGTAGGATAGCTGTGCATCTTGTAACAGGTATCCTTTCTATCTCCAGGAAGATGACAGTGCTCACACTCAAAATATGGCTTCTTTCTTTGTACTTCGGATTCTGGTTTTGTGATTTTTGATTATTCTATGCATAAAGTGCAGTTGAAACCTCTGAATTGGTGTTGATTCTAGCAAGTATCTTCTGACTTTCATCTTGATTCACAATTGGGAATGCTTGTTTCATCGACGGCAGTGGTGACATTAATAGTATTTGGCTATGCACCATTGAGTATGAATGATTAAGTCCCGTCAAGAATTGCAATAATTTTTGCTGGTTTAAATGTTCATGATAAGCCTTTGCTGTAGCACTATCAGGAGGTGGCAAGCTTACTAAAGCATTCAATTCATCTCATAGAGATTTTAGTTTGTTAAAATACAATGCCACAGAGTTTGTACCTTGGACAAGATTCACAACTTCTCTGTGAATTCCAAAAATTCTTGTACCATTCACCTTGTGATATTGCTCCTGAAGATCTTGCCAGACTTGAGAGGCATTTGTAGAGTAAACAATTCCACTGAAAATATCTTTGGATACTATGTTGAAAATCCAGGCCAATACCAAAGAATTGCACCTTTCCATTGTGCATGTAAAAGAGTATCAAATGTCAATTTCTTGCAAGTTCCATCCACAAACCCTAACTTGTTTTTAGCACGCAACGATACTATCGTAGCTCTACTCCAAATTCCATAATTTTCAGTCCCAATAAGTTGTTCTGAGACTAAGACTGAACCTGGAGTATCCGATGGATGTATATAAAGAGGCGAATTTGGCGAATTTGGATCTGTTGCTGCTATATTCGGTTATCCATTGACACCTGCCATTATTGCTTTCAATTTCTGAAATCTCTTCTTTCACTACTCCAAAAAGAAACGAAGGGTTCATGTAGAGTCGAAAGATTGATTTGGAGTACTTAGATCAAATCAAGTTGTGGAAGCATCGCTCTGATACCATGAAATGAAATGAAGAAATGAGAGTTTTCATGAAGAAAGAATTTTCTCTCGTGTATTGCTGTGTTTTCCGTTACAAAACTATATACAAGCTTAACTACAGCTTTTGCTATTAACCAACATTTACTAATCATATATAGTTACTAAATTTATTAACTATAGTTACACAGCTGGATGCAACTAACAATCAACTAACTTGTAACTATACTAACAATTAACAGTAAACTAACTAAGCTGACTAACAGCAGTTGACTGCTCTAATATATTTTACTAAGAAAATCTTTATTAAAAATTAGATGAGTTACACTAGGGATGTAGCCAGAAATTCATTTTACAGGGGTCAAGATGTTAATTAAACTTAATAATATAATTGTAAATAAACTTATAATAAGTAATATATTGGGTATAAGTTATACAAAAATATATATGAGTATTTATTTATAATGCTCTTTATAATTAATATTTTATAATTATGTTTGACGATATAGAATAAATTTATAATACTTTAACGAGTGTAAAATAAAACCAAAATATTTACTAATGAACAAGTTATTAAGCCAACACAAATAACAATACCTCCAAATTAAATGACAATAAAATTTCTACTAATAAAATATTCAAAGATTTATCTAGCTTTTATAGTAAAATATTATAACTTTTGTTGTAATTTTACTTTTATATTTTGACCCTTAAAATAATGCATCAAAATGCATATTTTTGATATTTATCTTTTTTTCATAACTTCAAGTATTGAAACATAAAGCAATTGACAGTAGTTTAATTTGATAAACAAATTTTAAAAATGATATTTATTTTATAAAATATATAAAAAGATGTACAAACTTTCTTCATTTTATTCTTTTTACAATTAAATAATATATATAAAATTCATTATATAATTTGTTAAATGTATTTTTGGGATTTTTTTTAATAAAAACTAAGTATTTAATTTGATATATTTGATGAATTTAGAAGTTAATATATATATTTGCTAATTTTTCAAAGTCAAGTTGACCTTCCTTGACCCCCTCCCTCCGCCCTTGAGTTACACTGCTTATAAGAGATAAATATCTTAAACAAATATAATTATTGATAATTGCATTTTTTTTTTTTTTTTAAGTCAAGTTTTGTCTTAACTCAAAAGAAATATTCTAGAAACGAGATAAAAGTAATTACTTTATTTATTTAATGAACGAAACGGATGAATTTAAAGACATTACAGGTGCGTTTGACACATTATATTAAGTTAGGATATTAGATTGAATAAGTTTGTATGGTTTATAATATTATATTATGTTTAGCAATTGGTATGAGAATAGACTAAATAGGTTTACATACGATATAATAAATTAAATATATTAAAAAGTTTAAATTACACCATTAAATTGATTTTGAGAAAAATATAAATATATTTATAATTAAAACATATAAATATACTTTAATCAAAATTTATATTTAAATATTTAGTTATGTTATAATAAGTTATATGCTACATTATGTTATTTCCTATTCCTTTTTAAAGTAAATTTAATCTTTAATTTGTTAAATTATTTTTTATAATTAAAAGTAATTTTTTTTATATAAATTTAAATTAGTTTTGAAAATAATACAGCAGGCTCATTAAATAAACTCGTGTCCCCTAATGGGTTTACATTCTTGCACTGTAGAACAAAAATCAGTCCGAACCTGCCCCATTTTTTAAGAGAATACTGTTTAAAAGTATTTTCAGCTTAATTTCTGTAAGGTGATGCCAAACTTATCTTCCATAACCATCTTCTCGTCAACAAGCTTCCAATCAAAGGAGTGGTCCATTATGTTTCTCTCATTTTCCCTCACTTTCTCTCTAACCAAACACCATAATCTCTCATTCTAGGAAACCTTTATACTAAGGATCTTAAGATCTTCAACACTCTTTTTTTAAGAGATAAATATCTTAAAGCTAACATATTGATTGATAAATATATTTTTTTAATAGTATATTGTCCTCTCTTAACTCATAAGAAATACTCTAAAGTAATTATTTTATTTTAAAATGAACAAGCGGATGAATTTAAGGGCATTAAAATTAAGTCTATTATGTATAATATTGAAATTGAAGTATTTATTCACGAACAATATAAATTACACAAGAAACATACATAATAGAGAGAAATTGTAAAGTAATTAATTAAAACGGCGAGCAATAGGAATCGCAAATAGTGGTTGAGCTTTCTGCAAGGTGATGCCAAACTTATCTTCCATATCCATTTTCTCTTCATCAAGCTTCCAATCAAAGGAGTGAATAAGTGAAGCCAACATCAAGTGTAACATTTTGATTGCCATTAACACAGCAGGACATATTCGCCGTCCACCGCCAAACGGAATGAGTTCAAAATGGTGGCCTTTAAAGTCAAGATCCGACCCCAAGAATCTTTCTGGTATAAAAGAGTTTGGATTGTCCCATGCTGTTGCATCTCTCCCAATTGCCCATACGTTCACTAAAACTTTTGCATCCTTTGGGACAGTGAACCCACTGAGTTCTATATCTGCTGAGGCTTTTCGAGGCAGTAATAATGGAGTTGGCGGGTGCAACCTGAGAGTTTCTTTGATAATTGCTTGTAAATAAGGTAAATGAGTGATGCCGGATTCTTCAACTTGGTTCCTTTTTCCAATAGTTTGCTCCAATTCCAGTTGAGCTTTCGATAAAGCTTCTGGGTTCAAGAGTAGTTCTGCCATTGCCCATTCCAATGTGCTTGAAGTTGTGTCAGTACCGGCGACAAATAAATCCTGTTCAATAATTGCTCAAAAGCACAAAATATGTTATATTGAAAAATAATATAGGCTTTTGTAAATTAATACTAGTAAAAGAAGAAAAGAAGCAATGATTTACCAGAAATAAATGTTTGATGCAATTTCTATCAATCTCTTGGGTGATATTGAGTAGAATATCTAGAATGTCTTCATTATGACCATCTCGTAGCTTCAAACGTTGATCAATCATGCGATCAAAGAGTTCAAACATCTTTCCGAAATTAGTTGCCATGCGACGCCGTATACCTAGCGGGTCAATCTTTTTAAGCAGCGGAAAATGATCGGCTAAATTAGGCTTTCCCATGTCTACCATAATATCCCACACAAGTTCCTTAAACTTTTGACCCGTATCTGAAGTAGGATCAGCCAAATCAACTGAGAAAATAGTGCGTGACAACATATTAAGACTAGTAGTGAAAGCAGCTTGACCAATATTTATTGCTCTACCACCGCTACAACTTTCTTCAACATAAGCAACGAGTTCTTGCACTTTCTTGCGCCTTAGGTCTTGATCGGTTTCAACTTTTTTACTAGAGAAAATATATGAGTTGCATATTTTCCTGAGATTTCTCCATTCTGTGGAGGCCGGTAGCCATGGCATTCCAAATTCATGGTGTTGGTGGGCAAGGAGAGAGTCAGGAATAGTTCGGTCACAGAAAGATTTATCATGAATTTGAAGTACTTGTTTGGCCATGGATTCAGAAGACATGACAATGGTAGTCACCTGGCCAAGTTTAAGACTCATTATGGGGCCGTGAACCTTGGCAAGTTTTGCTAAAGACTTGTGAGGTTTATTTCCAAGATCAAAGATGTTTCCGATGAGTGGATATTTTGTTGGTCCTGGAGGAAGCTTTCTTGAAGTTGGTTTGAGTCTTCTGGCAATGGACAGTACGGATATGATTGAAACCCATGTCAAGAGAAGCCATAGCATGCAGCATAAACGATCCATTTTAATTTTCTTAGTTGAAAACCTCAGAGAACAGGACACTAGCTTAAAACATGATTGGTTTGAGCCTTGAGGCTAATGCCACTTGAGTGTTAATAGCCAGGAAAGGAGACAGAGAGAGCTAACATTTATGTTGGGCATACTGTCAATTAATTTTGTTACCTGTAAAATCACAAAATTGATGAGGTCAATTTTCATATTAATTATATAACTTTAAGGGGGTGTTTGGTTCAGGAATGTTAGATTACTGGGAATGTTAGATTACTGGGAATGTTGGATTACTGGAAAGATAGATTATCTTAAAAGATTACTGGGAATCTTTAAGAAAATATGTTTGGTTAGTTGGTAGGTATGTTATATTAATATGGTTGGTTATGGGGAATAAATTGGTGGGTATGTTATTTAAATTACTAAATTGTCCCCTTTATAAATATTATTTTTATTATTAATTTTTGAATAATTTCTTTTAACCCCCAATATTTCAGATTTAGTTAAAACATCATTGCTTATATAAAACTTTAATTTATTACGAAATCACCCCCATCTCCTGCCGCCGCCGCATACCATCGCCGGAAGTCTCCGAAAGTCCCCATCAGTAACTCACCGTGACTAAGAGGCTTCGATATGGCCGTTTCCGGCCATATTGATGGTCGAAAATGGCCATATCAGGCCAGATCTGACCGAAAATGGCCAGATCTATTCTGGCCATTTCCGGCCAGATCGGTGGATTTGGCCGTTAATGGCCAGATCCCTAGCCATTATCGGCCAAATCTGGGCGAGATCTAGCCGTTAACAGCCAGATCTATTTCAGTCGGAATAGATCTGGCAGTTAACGACCAGGTCTGTGGTCGTTAACGGCCAGATCTTGCCTAGATCTGGCCTGATATGGCCGTTTTCGGCTAACAATATGGCCGAAACGGCCATATCGATGACTCTCGGAGCCTCCCACTCAAACTAGTTCTTTTTTAGGGACTTCGACGAGTTTTTCGAGGCGGTTCGTGGTGGTTGGCCGTTGTAGGCGGTGGTGGCAGTGGTGGGTGGCTGAGTGGCAGTGATCTGTAAATTGTTTTAAATATAAGGACATTATTATCCAAAATTTTAGTTAAACAAGGGTAAAATTGAAATAGGATATTAATGTAAATTTATTTTAAAATGAGGGCATTATTGTCTAAAATTTTCATTAATAAGGGATAAAATTATAACAAAAAATGATAACCCTTGTAATCTCAAAATACCTAAGAAAATGGAGATAATTAGATTACCTCCAATATTACCAATAGTAACTATTATTGGTATTTGAAGATTACCGGAATCTTATATTACTTGACAACCAAACGTGATAATCAAGTAATATCAGATGATATTACCCCAATAATCTGACATTACCGCCAACCAAACGCCCCATAACAGATATATGTCTCCGTAGGAATAGTATTATTGAAGACTTTGACTGTTTCAACAAGGACATTAAAAGTCTCTTTCCCAATTATATGAATTATATATATATATATTTCTTAATTTGATAAAGCAACGACAAAATGGCTTAAGGTTATATATGTTGAATAATTTTTTAATAAAGTAGAGATATTTATATATTTAATTCGACCAAATAATAAAATAATAAAAAAATACCACCCTTTGTTATTTAGAACTTTGATACAAAGGTACTCTTTAAAACAACGGTAATCACATGAACAAATATAAAAGAAAACTGTCAACTCAACGTTTTTTTTACTTTCTCGTAATTACACCACTATAATTATAACAGATAAAACATTATAGATTAGTGCTAGAGGCGAAACTATCATTAAGCTTGACTTCTTAGGGCCATGGTCGCCCTCCGCCTAAAGGCAACTCCTTTTAAAAATTTATGTTTTTTTTATGTATTATAATGAGTTTTAACATAGATTTTTACTACTTCACGTCCCCCCAAGTTTTTAAGCCGTACAAGATTATTAGCACAAAATAAAGTTTTTAACTCTAATTTTAATACTTCCTAGACTGTAAGTCTAAACTCCAAAAGAGTGTTTTAATTTAAGCCCCGTAAAAACTCTTTTCTAACTTCTAAGGTCCTTTTAAAATAAAAAATTATTTAAAAAATAAATCTAAATAAATCATTATTTATTCCAAAAATATCAGTTTCCTATTTTTTCTATCTTCTGCTTCACTCCTGGAAGTTAAGTTTCGTTTGAACAACTAGAAAAAAGATATTAAAAAAGTTGGGTAAAAATAATTTTAAAAATTGCTATAATATTATATAAATAACATTTATGGTATTTAATCATTTCTTTTTCTAAAATTATCTAGGATATCTTATAGCTTATAAAAAAATATTGTTTGTAACTAATTCATTAATTTTTCTTTACAAACAATCAAGCTTATTTTGATTCACTACATGATAATATATATTATATTTCTAATTCTTCTAATGTTATATATAGGTGAGTAAACCTGTGTTGTGCCTTTTCTAATATTTCTTTACAAACAATCAAACTTACTTTGATTCACTACATAATAATACAATATATTATATTTCTAATTCTTCTAATGTTATATATAGGTGAGTAAACTTGTGTTGTGCCTTTCCTTTTATAGATAAATGGAGGATTAGATGACCTTTAATTTGGTTTTCTCTATGAGTGAGGAATCCAGACTTGGTAAGAGTCATTGAGGTAAGGTATTTTAGGTGATATTATTCCCTTTTAGATTAGGGTAGAATCTAGGAAATTATTATCTTCCTCTTTTATGTTTATCCCTTTTCCACTAGGGACATTCCCTTTCAACCTCTCAACCTCCTGAAGAATTCATTACCCAATACTCCGAATACTCATATAGTCTACAATTAGGTCTTAGATTCCAAATCCTTCCTAGGATTAGCCGTTTCTTCATACACTTGAACTTTGCTTTAAGGCAATTAAGTATAAATGGATGAAGATCCTTGACTTGTTGCTTTACGCAGTGGTGGTAAGTTCATGGTACAAAAAATACCATAACGAAGTCAAATATATGTATCAATTGAGAGCTTACCATGGTGGCCACTCCTGTGGTGTTAAGCCAAGTGATATTTTGCTTGTTAGTGTTTAATCGAATGGTTAAATCAGCGGAATATTTTTTTTTTTTTTTTTAGATTAACACCAATATCCCATAAATCCTTATATATGATTACATTGTTTACATGTTAAAACTAAAACTAAATCAAAATACACAAGATTTGATTTCTCACCAACGTTTGATGGCTCCTTCTTTGGATTCGTTTATCTCGCTTTCAATAAAAGAATATGGTTGCACATACAGTATCCACACGAAGACAAGATTGCTCACTTCGATGCGATTTGTTAGAATCAAAACGGGGTGCTAAGGAACAAGAGAAGAAAAACTCTCCTTTTCTCTTTGTAAAAACGTGAAGCTAGGGTTAGAGAATGTTTGTGTAAAATAAATTTAATTGCTTTATTTATACTTGGCAATTAAAACCCTAATCCAACTTGGAATAATATACACACTATTCCCAAATGGAATTAATTAGTATTTTATAGTTATTATTTATTAATTAACAAATTAGTATATATACATTTAAAAAAATATATATATACTAGGCTTAAAGTCCGTGCATTACGCGGGTATGTTTATAGAATTTTTTTTATTTTACATTATTATTGTTTTATATGTGGCATTAAATATATATTGTTTGTATTGAAATTAATTTTACATTGAGTTGATGATTAAAGAAATAAATAATAAAAATATTATATAGCAAATAAATAGTATTAAATTTGTACAAATTTTAAATATATATTTAATGTAGGTGTAAAGATTTATTTTAATTACAAGTTATAAGGCCCACTCGTTGTGCGTATTGTTTATGAAAGTGGTTTAGACAAAAAAAAAAAAAAAAAAAAATTAATTAATTAAATAACAAAATTATAATGGAACATTTTAGTAATAGGAAAATATTTCTTTTTCAAAGCAGAAGAAGAGGAGTTGCAACATTTTTCTTTGGACAATTTGGGACGTAAATAGAATCGAAATGACAATTTTGCCCCTCTTTAAATTAGTAGTTCCTGCATGAAATATGACCATTGCTTTGAGGTCCAACAATTAATCTTCCAGAATTTTAAAAGGTTGCACAGCACTATGAAATAAGCAAAAATAAAAGAAAAAAAAAAAAAAAACTTGTCATTCTTTATCATCCAACACAAACTCTATTCACCACAAACACATAATAGCTACAAAGTATCGACAACAAAAACATGTAATAATTCTAATAATAAACAATTTCAATATTCAAAAACTTTGTTACAACTTACAATAACTCAATCAGCCAAACATCACTCATGACCTTAGGAGAAAGTAGCTGGCCAAATGAAAGATGGGTTATGACATATGACATGTTCATTTGAGAAGTATCGAAGGAATGGGCTCCTGAGCGAGCTGAGATGATAAAGTTACCGGGAACCTGCACAGTAGTAGATAGCTTAAACACTTAAAAAATGCCACTTTAATATGCATTACTATTTCCTTAAAGTCAAGATAGGTCAAACTAATAATAGACATCACAGAAAAAAAACTAATTTCAGTTTTCCTCAACTATCCATGGTTATAACAATACACATTTGTATAATTGTTTACCTTCTTTACACGCACATATCCTTCGATCCTGCATCGTCCTGCCTTTGGTGCTGATCTTTCTCCATTCTCTGCAGAATTTTGCTTTTATCCTCCAAAGCTAGCTTCTGAGGCCCTTCCCTTGGTATAATGCAACTAACTCTTCCATCGTCTGCAAAGGGCAGAATCAACATATATATAGCCAAACAGAAGTTTAGATATGTATATATATATGTGTGTGTGTGTGTAATGATTTCCAATTTAAACATGCTTCACCCTGACCAGGCTACCTGTGTCTCTATCTCCATAATAGGATTCATGATCATGGTGTCCATGTTCTTCCCTGTAATAGTTGAAAGTTACAGCTAGTTTGTCAAATAATATTCCATTAAAACAGCAACCTGAAAACAGATCCGTACACGAATATAATCCACCCTCTAGAACTTAATTCTCTTTTCAATGCTTCCATTCAAATTCAGATA